CCTTAGCCGCTTGAGCCACAGGCGCTGAGCCTCTTTTTTTTTTTTTGAGAGTCTCACTGTGTTGCCCTGGGTAGAGAGCTGTGGCATCACAGCTCACAGCAACCTCAAACTCTTGGGCTTAAGCGATTCTCTTGCCTCAGCCTCCCAAGTAGCTGGGACTACAGGTACCCACCAAAATGCCTGGCTATTTTTTCTTGCAGTTGTCATTGTTGTCTAGCTGGCCTGGGTTGGGTTCAAACCCACCAGGCTCGATGTATTTGGCTGGCGCTGTAAACACTGTGTTACAGGTGCTGGGCTACAAAACTTTATTTTTTTTGAGACAGAATCTCAAGCAGTCACCCCGGATAGAGTACTGTGGCATCACAGCTCACAGCAGTCTCTAACTCCTAGGCTCAAGCGATTCTCCTGCCTCCACCTCCCAAGTAGCTAGGATTACAGGTGCCCACCATAATGTTTGGCTATTTTTTGGTTGCAGCCATCATTGTTGTTTGGCAGGCCTGGGCTGGATTTGAACCCGCCAGCTCAGGTGTATGTAGCTGGCGCCGAGCCGGTTATATTTTGTTGTTGCGGTTGTGGTTTTAGCTGGCCCAGGCCAGGTTCGAACCAGCCAGCTTTAGTGCATGTGGCCAGCACCCCACCCACTGAACTACAGGTGCTGCCCCCAAAACTTTTTTTTTGGAGACAGAGTCTCACTTTGTTGCCCAGACTAGAGTGCTGTGGTGTCATAGCTCACAGGAACCTCAAACTCTTGGGCTCAAGTGATGCTCTTGCCTCAGCCTCCCAAGTAGCTGTAACTACACGTGCCTGCCGCAACACCCAGCTATTTTTTTTTTTTTTAAGCGACAGAGTCTCACTTTTGTCACCCTCGGTAGAGTGTGTGGCATCATAGCTCACAGCAACCTCCAGCTCTTGGGCTTAGGCGCTTCTCATCTCAGTCTCCCAAGTAGCTGGGACTACAGGCGCCCGCTGCAATGCCCTGCTATTTTCTTGTTGCAGTTTGGCCAGGGCTGGGTTTGAACCCACCACCCTCAGTATATGGGGCCAGTGCCCTGCTCACTAAGCCACAGCCACCGCCCTTTTTTTTTTTTAGAGACAAGGTCTCATTCTTGCTCAGGCTTGTGTCAAACTCCTGGGCTCAGGTGATCCACCCACTTCAGCCTCCCAGAGTGTTAGGATTACAGGTGTGTCCAACCCCAAAGCTTTTTATTTTTCCAAAGCTTAAACATTTGTTTGAACTAATAGTTCTTAGACTTTGCTATGTATTAGATCACTGGGGAACTTTAAAATCATTTTTTTTTTTTTGAGACAGAGCCTCAAGCTGTCCCCCTGGTAAAGTGCTGTCCCAGCTCACAGCAACCTCCAGCTCCTGGGCTCAAGCGAGTCGCCTGCCTCAGCCTCCCAAGTAAGCTGGGACCACAGGCGCCCGCCACAATGCCCAGCTATTTTTTTTTGGTTGCAGCCATCATTGTTGTTTGGTGGCCCAGGCTGGATTCAAACCCGCAACCCTAGGTGCACATGGCTGGCACCCTAACCACTTGAGTCACAGGCACCAAGCCTAAAAATCTTGATGCTTGTATGAGGCCCCAGGTTCATTCCCTGATACCTCCACCAAAAAAATAAAAAATAACATTAAAAATCTTATTTTAAAAAAAGAAATCAATTTCACTAAGTACAAAAAAAAAATCTGGCTCAGTGCCTGTGGCTCAAGCGGCTAAGGCGCCAGCCACATACACCTAAGGTGGCAGGTTCGAATCCCCAGCCCGGGCCCGCCAAACAACAATGATGGCT